GGAGCCTCGATGGGGGCCGCGAGCCCCCGAGCTGGGCCCAGGGCCCCAGGCGGCGCCCAAGGGCCAGGGGCGCCCCTTCCCATGGGGGCGCGACAGCTCCTCCAGCCAGACATGGTGCCGCCTGCGCGCCCTGAACTCAACGCTTCATTTTGGATGAGGCCCTGAGACGTGCTGCTCCAAAACTGGCCGCTCGACCGCCTGAAACTTAGCGCCCCGCCCGCAATGCTTGAATCTTTCAAAAGATTCGATGCCTGGCACGTCGCGGAGATCCCGCTCCATGGTGTCGCATCTCCCCGTGGAGCGTAAAGAGACCCGCGCCAGTCGGCTGTCGACGTAGCCGTGCAAACCTCGCTTTAAAAGTTGCTTGGTCCTGCGGCTGAGGTGATGGGCCTGTGGGCATATCAAATGGAAAGCGTTTTGGTAACTTCAACGCCTTCTCGACCTGCCAGCGCTAGCATGCCGAGCGCAAGTGGAACTGGATAGTGGGTCTTGTCGTAGGAATGTTCGGGCCTGGCGCGCGCCTTCGCCCCCCGCGAAGGGTCGCGCCACGCGATGGAGTAGTCGATCTCGCCCCTAGCTTTCCCGAGCGACAAATTCGCTTTCCCGAGTTGGCTACCGTTATCCTGGACCCCCGAGGGGACAGCATTCCAGTCAGAAGCTACCTCGAACGGCCTTTGGAAACGGAAGAGAAACTCCCCCAGCCGGTCTAGCATTTGTTTCCCCTTAGGTCCTTGGGCCCCCTGGCCGTCAGGGAAATATAGAGAGCGCGTGTCGAGGCCGCCTCGGACGCAACCATTGACCCGCATAATTATTTACCGAGCATGGTGTAACTGATGTGCAACTCCAGCCACCTCACTGACGCCTATGTGCTGCTTGACTGCCGCGCCTACTTCTGCGGAGACCTCCTCAGGTCCGTCTTGACTGCAGGACTGAGACGTAGCTTCCAACCCTCGTCGGCCGCTGATTTTTTAGACTGCGGAACGCTAGGTTCGAGAACTCTGCGCTCCTGGATACAAAGAACTTCGCTGTGCCGAAAGAGATCATCAGTGAGCGTGGCCTGTGTCCCTGCACATCCTGACGTGTTGGCCGCGACGATCGCCCGCGACCTGCATGTAGGGGTACTTCCGACGGGGGCCGAAGCCGCGGCCTGGCTAAAGAGACTGCGGCGCGCCAGCCACGGGCGCCTCAGCACCTCTCTTGCCCGCGTCAGCGCCCTTGCCCATGACCAGGGGGTGCCCCCAACCAGCCTGCAGGCGTGCTCGCGCAGATCCGCCGACGATTTGGCCACGCCCTTGCCAGCGGCGCCGCCCGCTGCTGGGGCCGCCGAGCTGGCGGCGGAGGCCGCGGCCGACGCGGCGGCGCCTGGCGGCTGCGGCGCCTGGCAGCTGCGGAGCCTGGGCATCGCCCGGGACGCCCGCGCCTGCTGCGCCTGGCGCCTCGGGGACATCGGGGCCATCCTGGCGCCGCCGCTTGGACTGCAAGCGGACCTTGAGCGCCTCGTGCTCCTTCTTGTGCTGCTCCACCTTTTGCTTGATGTCGCCGAACAGCGTCTGCGCCACCGATTGGAACTGTTCCTCGAGCTGTTCCTCGCGTCTCTTCGCCCCCCGCTCGGTCCGACTCCGCCGCGTCCACGAATCCGCCTCGCCGAAAGGTCTTCGCCACAGGACAGCTTCCACTCCTGTATCTTGCCCTCGAGCATGCCCCCCAGGCTGAGCGCGGGGATGTTCTGATCGGGCTGCGGCGGCGGAGCGACCGCCGCGTGCAGCTCTTGGATCGCCTCCCTGAAGGCCTCCGCGTGGTGGTCGATCCGGCCCAACAGGGCCTTGACCTTTTGCTCCTGCGTGCGCGCTTGGCCCTGCAGCTGCTCGGGTGCGCCCGGCTCGTTGGCAAGGCCTGGCTCGAGCTGCTTGATGCACTTGTGCGCCTAGTCCACCCTCACCTGAAGCGGCGCTTCCTGCTTGTCCTTGATGGCCAGCACCGGCTGGTAGTACTCAGCCATGCTGCCATTGTTGGTCATCGTTCGGAACTCAACGAATTACTTGATCTCGGCCACGGATGGATGTGGCACGGGATCTGCAGCTGCTTGCAGGAGACCGACGGGACGCGGAGGGCCACGAACATCGCCGCCAACACCGCCGACACCGCCCAGGCCAGGAGGTGCCTCCACATCCTGGCCTTTGCCTTTTTACCTAACAGCTTTTGCTGATAGGTTTCTACTGGTGTCAAAAAAGAACAGCAGATGACTCCACAGGGGGGTCTGGGCGGGTGCCGGACAGGGTGCCGTAGAAGTCGTTTTAAGCCAACAGTCACACACTTCGTGCTCTTCGACCTCCCAGAACTCCACTCCCGGGCCACATTCTAAATGCCCAGAGCCAACTGTAGGCCACTTCGTGCTCTTCGACTTCCCAGAACTCCATTCCCGGGCCACATTTTGAATGCCCGGAGCCAACTGTAGGCCACTTCGTGCTCTTCGAGTTCCCAGAACTCCATTCCCGGGCCACATTTTGAATGCCCGGAGCCAACTGTAGGCCACTTCGTGCTCTTCGATTTCCCAGAACTCCATTCCCGGGCCACATTTTGGATGCCCGGAGCCAACTGTAGGCCACTTCGTGCTCTTCAAGTTCCCAGAACTCCATTCCTGGGCATGATTTTGAATGCCCGGAGCCAACTGTAGGCCACTTCGTGTTCTTCTAGTTCCCAGAACTCCATTCCTGGGCCACATTTTGAATGCTGAGGCAGGCTGATGCTGCGGCCGAGGCAGGCTGAGGCTGAGGCAGGCTGAGGCTGAGGCCGAGGCTGAAGGCAGACTGAGGCTGAGGCTGAAGCAGACTGAGGCTGAGGCTGAGGCAGGCTGAGGCTGAGGCTGAAGCAGGCTGATGCTGAGGCAGGCTGAGGCTGAGGCTGAGGCTGATGCAGGCTGAGGCTGAGGCAGGCTGAGGCTGAGGCCGAGGCTGAAGGCAGACTGAGGCTGAGGCTGAAGCAGGCTGAGGCTGAGGCTGAGGCAGGCTGAGGCTGAGGCAGGCTGAGGCTGAGGCTGAGGCAGGCTGAGGCTGAGGCTGTGACTGCGACTGCCGTTGCCGCTGCGACTGTCATCGCGAATGCGACTACGACTGCGAGAACAGCAGAATTCTACAACTGGATTTTCATCTGAATCTTAAGGGGAATGCTTTCAGATATGCTTCTACACATCGCTGTTAGGTTGCTTTGCCGGGATAATTTTGTTGGGGGGGGCTTGCCCGTCTTCCACTGGCGGCGACAATGCTTGCACGACACCTCCGCCATCAGGGTCTTTCCACATCCATAGTGGCTACATTTCCAGACTGGCGCGTCACGCCAGCCGCCTGGCACCGCGCGGCTTCCAGACACAGTGGAAGCAAATTGGCGGGTGATCTCGCAAGATTAGGGCCCACACCCTAGGCTTAGGTCGGGCATGTCCCTCTACTGGGGGATTTTGGCAGAAAAACTCAGAATACCACAAAACATACCCCAACATAGCCGAAACATGCTCGGAACAATCGTTCCCAGGCGATTTGCTTGAAACCATGTTTGAATATCCCTTCTGTAGAGGGAGAGGCCCGACTTAACCCTCGGCGGGGCTGCTGATCGGGGTCGTGCGTGTCCCTCGACCAGCTTGATGCCCCCAGCCCCGGGAAGGCGGAGGCCTCGGGCAAAGGCTTGAGCCAAATGGCTGCGGACCCCCCCCTGCTCCTCCTCCTCCCCCTCCTGTCGGCGGCGACGATAAGGGCGAACAGCCCGGGGGAGGGGTCATTACACGTATTCGCCCGGGAGCCTTGTCGAAGATATAGATCCTCGGCGCCCCCTGGATACATCTACTGCAGGTCCATGCCGTGTCGACCCTGGCGTTGGTTCCTGACACCGCGCTGGATCGTTCAGCCTTGAACAATCGGCCGTCTCCGCAGCGTCCGATCGTTCAACGTCGATCGATTCTGGGTCGCCAGCGGTGTTCAACGTTGAACGTCGGCGGCGGGGTCGCCGCCGGTCGACACGACGCGAACCTACCGTACATCTATTGCTCTCCCCTGGGCTATTCGCCTCTGTCGTCGCCTCCGATCCTGCTCCTGATCCGCCGCCCCTCGTCCCGGCGGCGCGCAGAAGGAGGCAGGGAGAGTAGAGCGGCCTTCGAAAAAGGCACCCCGACTCTTGCAGGCCTCCTGATGCCCTCCTCTCGGGTCGGGCGAAAAGGGGGGATAGCAAAGGGGGGGTTTGAGAATCAGCTCTCGTAGCTGATTTTCCCGGCGCCTCCCGGCGCCGGAGGCGGCTATGTATCGAGGAATGGGCCCGGCGGCGGGGCAGAAACCAGCTGCATGCAGCAGATTTCGTACCCCCCCCTTTCCCAATCCCCCCCTTTCGCCCGGCCCGATCCTCGCCTAACCCCAATTCCTTGCGGCCGCTCGGACGTCCATCCCCCGTGCATTTGTCGGTCTCGTGCGTGCTTTTCCCTCGATGGTCCGGGATGCTCCTCGCTGGGTCCCGCCGAGAAAAGATGCACAGCTCCGACCCCGAGCGATGCCAAGCTTCTGCGCGCCGCGAGTCTTCGTCGCCCTCTTTCTTCGACGCGCCGTCGGGCCGCACTGGCCCGTGGCGCCCGCGAGCGCGGGCAGCCTCGTGCAGCCAGGGCCCGCGCTGGACGCGGGCAGCAAAGGACGGCCCCTAAAACGTAGCCCAGATTTAGTAATAAAGGGAGGGGGGGTCTCATTTCGGGGGGGGGTCTCTTCCAGGCTATCTTGGAGGGCCTGGGGGGGGTCTGGGGACGATGTTCTGGAGGGTTCTCCCACGGGGGGGGGGTCTGAAATGGCTTGTCTTGGAGGGTCCAGACCCCTCCCTTTTATTACGAAATCTGGAGTAGCCCAGGCCCTGCCGCAGGGCGGCGGAAGGGCACGGGGTCGAGTGCTCCAGGGAGGCGAGGGCAGAGACTGCGACCTGGCCCCACGGCCTCGTCGTCCTCCTCCCCGGTCCCCCCGATTCCGTCCTCCGCGGTCCTCGAGGTCGCCCTGCTTCCTCTCGCCGGTGGTGATCTCGTTGCGCTTGTTGCTCGCTGCGTCGTCGCACCTCGGTGCCCTGCCGCTCGCCCACTCGCAGCCCCCGTGTGCCCGCGTGGGAGGGGATCAGGCGGGTGCCAAAGAGAGGGGAGGATCGAGGATCGAGGCGTTCGAGTGAGTCGTCTCTTTAGCAGCCTCGGGAAGCCTCTGGGGATCTTTGTCGGCCTCGAGTATCCTCCCCAGCACGTCCAGGGACCTCCTGAAGGGGGGGGATACTCGAGGCCGACAGAGATCGGCAGAGGAGGGGAGGGAGGAGGGGAGGAGACTGCAGGAGGAGGAGGGGAGGAGGGAGGAGGAGGAGGGGAGGGAGGAGGGGAGGCAGTATGACCTCCTGAAGGGGGGGAGGGGCAGGACGAAGAGTGCATGCCGTGAGGCCGGCGGTCGGCAGGTGGCGCCCGGGCCGCAAGCTGCTGCTGCCGCCGGTGCCGCCGCTGCCGCCGCTCGTCTGACGTCCAGGCCTCGGAAGAAATCGGCGAACATCGGCCATGGACAGACCTCCCCATAGTAAACCTCCCTTCAGTTTTTTTTCATCGCCACAGAGGCATCGACACAGGTCAATACGCATGCACAGGTCTATTCCGCCACGTGCTGGGCTACGTCCACGGCCCGCGCTGCCGCTGCCGCGCCTGGCTCATGCACGCTGCCTTGCACGTACCTTGAGCGGGTGCACACGCACAGACATGCACAAGGATGCACCGAGGCCACCGACTTTAGTAAACCTCCCTTTAGTGAAAACGACCTGGGACCGAAACCGACGGACCTGGACCCGCAAAAACGACGGCCGCGACGCCCTCTCGCGAGCCGAAAACGGCCAATGCGCCAATCGACGTGTCAGGGTAGGAGGTCTGTCCACCCTCGAGAACATCCATGCCAAGACCCCCCCCCAAGATCACCATTGCCGGCAGGTTTCATGAGCTGCACGTCGGCCGCAGTGTTTCTCTCTCTCGCGCGCGTGCCAGCTTGGGATTCGGGGGAGAGGGGGGGGGCCCACTCATTCTTTCCCTCTGCCGCCTCGCTGCGCTCTCAGCCCCTCTTGCAGCCGTGCGCACCACGCCACGGCACGGCCAAGCGGGGGCGGCGCCCTTACGAATAGGTCGGGCATGTCCCCCTCTACAGGGGGATTTTTGACGAAAAATGAGCAATAGGCACAAAATACTCAAGCAATGCTCAAAAATAGTCAAAACATCGTCCCCAGACTTTTTTGAAAACCATTTTTGAACATCCCTCCTGGGGAGGGACAGGCCCGACGTAACCTTACGGGGGCGACGGCGAAAGCAGACGGGGCGGGCGTCGGGCGGTCGGCGGGGTTGTGCGGACCTTCCTCTAGGAGGCGTACGGCGCTCCGGTCCTCCTCTTTCTCCTACTCCTCCTCCTCCTCCTCCTCCTCCTCCTCCTCCTCCTCCTCCTCCTCCTCCTCCTTCCTGTAGAGGCGTACAGCGCTCGGGGTCAGTCGCGACGCGCGGGCGCAGCCACGCGGTGCCTGGCTCCCATCGCTCCGCTGACGCGGTGCCACGAGGGCACAGCGGAGCGGGCCGCCGTTTTCTTTTTTATTGTTTTTTTGTTTTTCGGCGGCTCTGGAACTAAGCTGTAAGCGACAGGCTCGCGCCCTTGCGACGCCCACCTTGAGCGATCTGTGTCGGGCCTAAGGGGAGCAAGTGGGGAGCGGGTCAAGGCTTGCGGCCTTCCGAAGGTGAACTCTGTGGCTTGAAGCTGTTGCTGACGGCACGGTAGCATGTAGTATCGGCGCAAGTATCCTGATGCACATCGGGTACAGATGCACCGCTGTCCATGTGGATGACCGTGCATGGGGCAGGGAGGGAACACCACATCGGTGTGGTTCGCTTCATCTTGCTTGATACCTTTGCCACACTCCTGAACGAAACACCCGACGATCGGGGTCCACAATAAGCTAGTCGAGTCAACCTGCCAGAGAAAACTAGTGCTAGACCTTGTCTGGGGAGCTTCCGCATGGAAACGCCCTGGCATGCTCTCTAGGTCTGGGCGAAGGGCATAGCGCGGCTTCCCAGCAAGATGTAACACGAACCCAGCGTTCCACAATGCCACCCCATACCTGCCGTCGATCTGCTGGTTGGCCATCGCACTGACCCTCTCGACGTCGTAACGTAAGTCAACCAGTGGCCACCAGTTTCCATCACTACACGTAAGTCGGGCCTGTCCCCCTACAGGCCGATTTTGGACGGACAAAAAAAAACAGAACATTCACTAAACATGATCAAACATGTTCAAACAATGGTCCCCAGACTATGTTTTACTATTTTCGAAGATCTTGCCTGTAGAGGGACAGGCCCGTTTTAACACTACACCCCGCAGGATGCGCCGCCGAATCCGCGGCTCCAGGGGGAGGGGCCTCCGACAGCGGACTGCTGGCACCCCTCCGGCCACGTCTTCGTCCGCGGGTGGGGATTGGGCCCCCACGGCCAACAAAAAACTCGGACATGTGAAGCAGGGCTGAACCTAAACGGTGTTATTCGCTTTCGTTTTGTTCTCGTTTTCCCTCGCCTTTGTCTCGAATCCACCTTTGCCGCAAAACGAAATCGAAACGAAAACGGCCCGCGAAATCACGCAAAACACCGTTTAGGTCCAGGTCCAGCCCTGATGTGAAGCTCAGAAGCCGGGCGAAGGCTGGCAGACCCGTGGCTGCTAAAACGGAGCTCCGGGAACTTGCTTCTTCTCTTCCAGGAAGCAGGCCTGCTTACTACTTGTAATGCGCAAAACGTTCTTTCTGGAACATGTTTTTTTCTTCCGGGAAGACCGTGTTTTAGCAGCCACGGATTCGCCAGGCCTCGCCCAGCTTCCGAACGAAACACTGAGTCAGGACTCTCGTTGCCGTAATCGCCCCTTGGAGCTCGTGTGATCGCGAGACGATCACCCAGGACTCCCCGCGCCCCTTGCTAGTGGCCGGGGGTCCCTTGGACGTGGTCGCCATCAGGGCCGCCGCGAACTATCTCCGCGCCTGATCATAGTCGCTCCAAGACAGCCCGCGGAAACCCAACACGATGCCCCAGGACCCCATCAAGACCCTGAGGACACCCGAGGCCCACCCAACACCTAACAAACAAGCCCCACGGTTCCTGACAGGTCCCCAGCAAGTCCCAACGGGTCGAACAGGCCCACCATGTGCTCTCGAGGGGCTTTCCAGCTGGCCGCTGAGAGACCAAGAACTGTTAAACCAATGGTTCAAAACAATTGTCTCACCATCCATCCCTGGAAGCCCCAATGTCGCCTGCTTTCGTACAGTCCCACGACACCCTTGCCTACCTCGCGCTGTCAATACTCTTCGATGTCGATGAATGACGACGTCAACGAACTTCCCTCTTTGCACACCGTTCAGCTCACTGCTGGTGGCTGGCTCGACTTTTGTGTTCAGACGCTGGCCAATGCGCATAAACCGCTCGTCATAACTGCCACTTCGAGTTAACATCCCAGCTTGCATGCGGGCAGCTGCAATGCGCAAAGCGTTTGAGCAGTTCGGGCCAGCGCGTCTAGTGTATTCAATTCGAGGGGTCAGCGTACCGAAATCAAACGACGGACAGATGCTTGTTTTGATGCCCCGGTCGACGCTGGTCGACGAATCGCACTTGAAGCTCTGCCTACATGCAACGAGGAAAACATGTCAAGGTCACGCTGCACCTAGCGTGCATTGATTTGACGCTGCAAGCCTCGGAAGCTCAAATAAGCAGAAACCAAGACACCATATCTTGGCTTCTTTGTGCTGCAACTCACACGCCACATCTCATGAGACGAATGCCCTCATCGCACCAGCGCGCACACGCCTATAATGAGAGCAACGTAGAAAACATGCAAATGCTTCACTGGCTCTGAACCGCTTGGCACAGAACTACACGACTGCGGGAACACGAGCAGAGCCTCGTGGATGGGGCTCAGGACGGCGGCATCGGCCCCGGTCCTGACGAGCACCACTTGGCTCTCCAAGCCCGAGATGTCCAAACGTTGTGACGCAACTGGAAAACCGTCAGCGCCTCCGATCTCCACTCTGTACCGCCCGTCTCGGATAGCTACAACCGTGTCGTTGTTAAGCTCCTCTCGGCGGCTGCCTCGGTGCGGCAGCCCCTCTTCGGTGATGAACAGCGCGTGCTTCGGAGTGCCGTCGAAGGCATCAACGACGGCAAGCTGAGAATGGCCCGTCTTTGCGAAGGTGTGGGTGACGAAAGATGCTGGAGGTTTGGAAATGAACACCAACACTAACACACGGGGTTGCCTCCACCGAGGGAAGATGATCCTGGATTCCGCGGCTAGTGGAGATATTTTGGCTGCATGGGGAGCCCGAGCATTAACACTATCACCGAAATTGGGATCGTCTTCCCTCGGTGGAGACACTAGAGGCCTTCTGGATGGGGTCCGAGTAGATGGGGTCGGAGGATCGCGCCGCATCGCCGATGCATCGCCGATGCATCAGCAATGCATTGGCGATGCATCGGCGACGCCGGCGACGCATAGGCGACGTCGGCATGGATGACATCGGGCCTCGCATCGAGCCGCATCGCCGACACGTCGGGGATGCGGCGCGACCCTCCGACTTTATCTGCTCCGACCCCATCTGGGAGGCCTAGAATTAGGTCGGGCATGTCCTCTTACAGACGGATTTTGAACGACAAATGAAACATAGTCCAAACATGCTCAAACATAATCAAGACTTGACAACATAGTCGAACATAGTAGAAACAACGTCCCCAGACTATGTTTTACCACTATTCTTGAGTATTCCTCCTGTAGAGGGATGCGCCCGACTTACGCCTAGAGTTGTGGATGCCATGACAATGGACACTCTAACAATCCGATCATTGAACTAAAGATGTGTTTAACATCTGTGAAACATGTTCTAAACATGTTTCAAACATGTGTTGTACGTATTTAAAACATGTTTGACACATCTTTTAGACATCTGGCAATTATTTGGCAGCATGTTTCCTGTCCATTAATCTACTTCCACAATGCTGGTGCCCAACTCTGGGCCTCCGAGGATGCCGCTCCGCTCGGCGACTGCGCTTGGCGGCGCACCACGAGCACGAGCACGGCGGCGCTGCCCGGCACCCGCGACACGGCGAACGTGCCGTTTCCTGGGGAAGGCCAAAGGTACAGTCGGGGCGTTGACCTAAGGAATCCTAAATAAGGAACGAGGCCCCTTTTTCCCATACATTAAACTTCGATTTCACATGGAGAACCGAAGGACAACCCAAAGCACAATGTAAAACAATTAAGGAACACGGAACCCCTCCCCAACGAAAAGGGTTCCTTCTTCAGCGCCCCGACTGTACAGCGTCTTGGGCCGTCTTGGAGACCTCTTGGGGTCATCTTGGGCCGCCTTCGTCCATCTTAGAGCCATCTTGGGCCGTCTTGGTGGGCTTGCGGCTCGCCTGATGCCGTCGAAGCCGTCTTGGGGGCCTCTGGAGGACATCTTGGGCGCTTTGGAGACTCCGTTACGCCCCAGACCTCCCCCGGGGTGCGCTCGGACCAGAATCGCGAGGCGGATCTGGCGGTGGCTGCGAGGGCCTCCCGAGAGGCACCCCAAGAAGGGCAGAGAGCGAGGGAAGGGCAGCGTGATAGGTTGGGCATGTCCTCCCATGGGCGGATTTTGAAAGTACAGTGACAAACAGTCAAACCTGCTTGTGGTACGAGAAGAAGTGCGCGAAACATCGTCACCTATTCTCAAATACTTTGCCTGCAGAGGGACATGTAGGTGTGGGACGCACAGAGACATACTAATACTATATGTCCGCCTTGGAGGCGCGTGGCCGACTTGAACATATAGTATACCCATCTTGTAGTAGATCGTTTCCCGAGCGGCGTGGCCAGAAAGCGCCCGCCACGGCGCATATGCTATAAGATTTCTCGGTGCGCGCGTCGCCCCTGAGGGGAGGTACTCCAGATTTCGTAATAAAGGGAGGGGGGTCTCATTTCGGGGGGGGTCTCTTCCAGCCTATCTTGGAGGGCCTGGGGGGGTCTGGGGACGATGTTTTGGAGGGTTCTCCCACGGGGGGGGGTCTGAAACTTCTCGTCTGGGAGGGTTGAGACCCCCTCCCTGTTATTACGAGATCTGGAGTACTTTTTCTTCCTCTGAGTTCCCGCGCTGCCCACCCTCGACTGCAGCCTGTCGCCGGCCCTCAGGGCGACCTCGAAGTCGCGGCACGTCCGGAACGGCATCGGCCCGCTCCTGCCCGTGAGGCGCCTGCGCTCGTTCCAGAACAGGTCCAGCGGCGCCGATGACGGACCATCGGCGGCGCCCACGGAGGGGAAGGGCCTAAGGGACGAGGCGGCAGGCCTTCGCCAAAGGCGGCGGGGCTCCTCAGAGAAGCTCCCGCCGCCTGCTCGGGAGCAGGCCCTGCCTTCGGAGGAGGCGCAGAACGCTTCCCGGAGGGCACGAGGGCTCCTCAAAGAAGCCCCCGCCGCCTGCTGAGAAGCAGGCTCTGCCTCCGGAGGAGGCGCAGAGCACTCGCCGGAAGGCGCGAGGGCTTCTGGTAGGCTCCACCGCCTTCTGAGAAGGCCTGCCCCCCTCTTCCCTCCCCCCCCGGGCGCGCCGCCGAGATAGGCGTAAGTCGGGCCTGCCCCCCTACAGGAGGATTTTGGACGACAAATTTAAAATAGTAGAAAAATGATCTAAATTACTCGAACATGGTCAAGCATTCGTCCCATGACTATTTGTTGACTATCTGTAAAGATTCCTCCTGTAGAGGGACAGGCCCGACTTCAAGATAGGCGTTGCAGACGCGAAGCACGTGGCTCGTGCGCGGCGCCCCGCCGGTGGTGCCGCTCGGCCGAGCGTCCAGCTCCGTGGTCCTGCTGCGCCTGTCGGGGGGGGGGGGGCGGAGTGGCAGGACGAGGGCCAAGGATGCAGGAGGAGCTCGACCACGAGAGACCGTCCAAAAGAAGCCCCACCCTGAGACCCCAGGACGTCCATCGATTTCTGGTGTGGGAGCGTCACGCGTTCCACAGCAAAACTATCGGAGCCCCAGACACCCAGGGCATCCTTGAAGGGGGCCTGACACACACACACACACACACACACACACACACGCACGCACGCACACACACACACAGAACACAGAACACACAGAACACACATAACACACACAACATACACACAACACACAACACACACAACACACACACAACACACACACAACACACACAACACACACAACACACACAACACACACAGCACACACAACACACAACACACACAACACACACAACACACAACATACACAACACACAACACACACACCACACACACAACACACACACAACACACACAACACAACACACACAACACACACAACACACACAACACACAACACACACAACACACACACAAAACACACTCACACAACACACACACACAACACACACACCACACTCACACACAAATATACACACAAATAGCATGATTCCCGATCTGTTCCTGTATGTTCTGGGTTTCTGTCTCCTCCCCCACTTCCCAGATTTTCCGATGTTGTCCTGGGGATCGACGATTCATAATTGTCTGTGTGTGTTCTTGTTCCCTCCTGCATCCTGGAGGCAAGCAGGGTGCTTCTTGGCATGGCATGGGCTTCCAATGGGCTTATGTTGCTCCCATCCTACTTAAGGACCACATCCCAGAAATAATTTCGAGCACCCAGAAAAGTGTCGAAAGAGTGTCGAAACAGTGTCAAAACAGTGTCGGACCAGTGTCTCTCAGGGCCCGACACGCGAAAACCCGCGAGTTTCAGTATTTGTTTCTGGTGCTCGAAATTGTTTCTGGTGATCAAGGCTAAAGTAGGTTGGAACATCACAAGTATGGGCAACGAACCAGCCCACCCGGCCGGCTTTCCTGGCGCCGGGAGGCGCCCGCGTGCCGAGGGGTGGGCCCGACGGCGGGGCGGAGGACCCAGCTGCACGCAGCCGAGCTCGTCACCCCTCCCCTTTCCCTGGGAGGAGGAGGATGAAGAGGAGGAGGAGGAGGAGGAGGAGGACGAGGAGGAGGAGGAGGAGGGGGAGGAGGAGGAGGAGGAGGAGGACCCCCTCCACCTCCGACTTGTGGTGGTGGTGGGGGTGGACAACAGGCCCATCATTGAAAGCCGTTACGCGCAGCAATTCTGCCCTGTACTTTCGTCCGCTAAAACAGGGCTAGGATCGGGATAAATCGCTCCAGAGCGTTCCGGAGCGCTCTCAGAGCGTTCCAGAACGCTCTGGAGCGGCCGCGGCGCCCAATACATCTTCCGAACCCGCCGATCCTCAGAGATTTCGAGTGATCCCGATCCGATTTTGCCCCGATCTTCGCGTCGTTTTATCCGCCCCGAGCCTGCGGGAAGCGTCCGCGGGCGCGAGCGCCCAGAGGAGGAGGAGGAGGAGGCCGGCCGGCAGCCGCGGCATAGCCCGTGCCGGCGCGCGCCGCGGGAGCCGAGGCCTGAGCCGAGCTGCGGAGCCGCAGCTGCTCGCGCGCCCTTGCGTACAACCTCCTCCTCCTCCTCCTCCTCCTCCTCCTCCTCCTCCCCCTCCCCTCCCTCCCTCCTCCCTCCCTCGCTCCCTCCCTCCCTCCCTCCCTCCCTCCCTCCTCCTCCCTCCCTCCCCCTCCCTCCTCCCTCCCTCCTCTCTGCGCGCGCCTCTCCTCCTCCCTCCTCCTCCTCCCTCCTCCTCCCTCCCTCCCCCTCCCTCCCTCCTCCTCCTCCCTCCTCCCTCCCTCCTCCCTCCTCCCTCCCTCCTCTGCGCGCGCCTCCTCCTCCTCCTCCTCCTCCTCCCTCCCTCCTCCCTCCCTCCCTCCCTCCTTCCCTCCCTTGGAACTTGATTGGAGAGTGCGGCCGGACCTACAGTCATCGGCCTGACCCAAGGAACGATAAATAAGGAACGAAGCCCTTTTTTTTTTTATCTCTGTGGGCTCCGCGCGACGAGACCCGCGGAGGTTTCATGCATGCATTCGAAAGAGGGGGCGGCAGGGCAGGCGGAGGGCCGCGAGAGCACTTACAGCCACCTGCCGAGCCCTCACCAGCCCTCGGCGAGCTCCGCCGCGCGGCCTTCGCGGGCGGCCGCTGCCCTCGCGGCTCTCCCGCGCTCGCGGGCCGCCGCAGCGTCCGCGAAGCCGTGGGCTCGGAGGACGCCCTCGAGCCCTGGGCGGATCCGCCGCGGCTCGGCGGCCTCCGCCCGCGGGGCCGCCGCGGCCAGGCGCCGGGGCGCCGCGGCGCTCGGCGGCGCTGTATCCTGGCCCCCAGCGCCAGCCGCAGGTGGCGGGGGCGGGGCGGCTGCAGGCTGCCGCTGCGCTGGCACGGGCGCCGCCTCAAGCGCCTGCTCCTCCGCGCCGTGGCCCTGCCTGGCCTGGAGTGCCGCCGCCCAGCGCAGGCGCGTGCTCTCCTTTGGCGAGGCCAGCGGCGCGATCGGATCCTTCGACGCTGGCAGGATGCCACGTGCGAAGTCCGACCGCGCCTGTGCCCTGGAGCCCTTCTTGCTCTTGGGCTGCCCAGCCGCCGCGCTGGCCCCGCACGGCTTGCCCAGGCCGCGGTGCGCGTACCTGGGGGGGCGGCAGTGCATCCAGCAAGCCGCGCAGACCAGGAAGGGCTCGGAGTCGTCGCCCTCGACGCGCGACTCCATTAGGAGG